TTTTTTTACTCAAACCGTTATATCTGTATTATGCCTTTCCTGAGAAATAATATATTATTTTTCTTGGTTTACATGCACATGTTTATGCCTATCTATCTTTCTTTCTTCTAGGTTGCAAGGATAAAAACTCGAGTTGTTCATACTGGGCACAAAAAGGTTATTGCCAACACAGCCATGTGGACTTCATGTCAAAGAACTGCCCAAAGACCTGTGGCAAATGCTAATGGCAGGTGTGCTTATTCAAAATCTCTTCATCATCAGCTCATTTTCAGTGCATCCGACATAGAACTCAACAAGAATGATCTTTGTTATCAATCTAACTTTCAGAAGTTCTCTTTGGTGTGAGGAATTCCCCACCCCCAGCTAACAATAAAAAGACTAAACGTTTATTTTAAATTCAATAAACTGAAGAAAGAGAGGCTTAATGGCATGATCTCAAGGGCAATCACTGCTTTCCTCCAATCCTCGCACCCGTCTTGTAAACTAAAAAGAAGACTATGGAACTTTTAACATGTATGTTAATTTGCATCAGTGCCCTGCTTGCTGCTCGGCTAAAGTCACTTCGATTCTTCGATACAGCCCAACGAACAAAGAAAGAGCAAAATTTTCCTTGTTACCTCTATTTCTGTTACTCTGTAACTACAGCAGTAGGACTTCTAATGGCTAAATTCTAATACCTTCAATTGTGTTATTTTCAGGTTATGGAAATCTCAGGAGATGTTGTAGACTGGATACAAAAGACTTCATTACGAGGCTTGTTAACCTGCAGGTTCTGATTGATTAATGCTGAGAAAAAATAAAACCTCCTATCAGATCTTGTCTTGTCTTCTCTCTACTGTAGATATTAAGGTTAAAGCTTCAGAAAACGTTTTTCTACGTAACCTCTAACCAGGTTAGCCTATCAACAGGTTCTTTCCGTAGGGCGAACGAGTTTATTTTTCCAAAGCTCGAGGAAAAATTATGACGTAAAAAGTTTTAAAACACAGCATTCTTCGAAATGGAGATAAAGTGCTTCTAATCGTTTCTAATGCGTTTTTTCGGTTTAAGCACCATGCGCGCGCTGGGGTTTATTTTCTAAAAGCGAATTTTAAACGTGCAATTCGGCGATCAACTCGAGCTTTATAACGTAACCGTCGATCTAAATGCGAAGTGGGTCAAATTTCAAAAATACGCCAGCTGTTCTTATTTTATGGCCGGTAGATGCCTCCAAATTCAAAATCCTAGCTTCTTCTACTTGAGGATATGTCAGAAAAGCATACAAAAGCAAAGAAACGTGTATTCCGACGAATGAAAGTCAAATCAAGAGCGGCCGAATGACATAAAAGGTCAAAGGGTCGCTCATATCGCTCAAGTGACCTTTTTGAAAATATTCTCAGAATTCGCCGATTAATTTACCCCAATTTTTTTTCGCCAGACGTGTAGTTGAAATGATTGTTCTTGCCCAGAGTATAGTCTCGTTGGGTGAAGCCATGTACCACAGTGCTTTTTTGAGCATGGAATTTCGTCTAAATTCAGAGTTGGTAAGCTCTGTCGCGAAGCGTAAATTTAAAAAAATTCGTGGAAAATTCACCTTAAACTTTCATTTACATTTTACACCGCGAATAAGCAGAAGAAATAAGGTCTTTTGATTTCCTGGGTTAATCTTTTCTAGAACGCTTTCACTTTTTAAACGGGAGCCTCCTAAAAATGCCCAATTTCGGCGTCAAATTAGGCCGTGGCGAGCGCAAAATAGGAAAAAAATTGCAAAAAATTACATAAAAATCTAAGCGACCTGAAACTTATATTTTTAGAACTAGTTCACCCAGGCCTTTTTTCTGGCAAAGTTTGGGAAAATCGGTTTTTTTCTATCTTGCATGACCTTAGTCGATCCTTACAGCCGAAGTGCCCTTAAAGGCACAAAGGTCTTCTGGAGAAGCAGCCCAAATTCACTTTAAGAGGAAGAATAAAGTTTTTTTCACTCTTTATTAACGCTAGTTTGTCTCGTTATCTGGAGAGAAATATGATGGCAATAAACGTTATTTTCAAGTTTTGCGACAAGAAAGAAAGAAAAAGAAAACAAAGTTGTTTAAAATGGAGCATCAAGGTCACAAAATGTCAATCATGTTTTTCTTTAAGAGTATCTTTTACAGAATACTCAGTGGTATTAAATATCTTTGTCATTAGTAACAAAGTAGAGATTGGAACAACATTTGTCTTCGTATTGCTTCGTCGCATTCGCTGAAGGCAATTTTCATTCTTGATCTCGGTTACTCTTGTCATGTGTTTTGTCTTTTCCAGGTCTTCCCTGGTCTTTTCTTTTTCCGGGGATGGTAGGGCCGTTGTAGCCTGTGGAGAGGTTAATACCATACTTTTTTTAACTTTCATGCAATTTCGTGCGTTTTAATATATTTAATATCAAGAATAATTTTAGCATAATTTTCCCTTCATGGGTTTTGTTTTCTTTGAGTCTCTCATTGGTGGTTTGTGATGTCATGGAAAAGTCGAGAAATTAAATTTAAGATGGTGGCTTTTCGGGGAATGATGGTCCATTTTCAGGTCATACGACGTAAGCGTGTCACGTTTAAGATGTAAGCGTGTCACGTTGAAGACATCAAAGGATATAATTTTGAACATAGTTTACCCATCACAGATTTCGTCAAAAATCGCGATTACTTTATAAAACAAATGTCAAGGACGTCACTAAAGATCAATAGATCATAAGTAAGAACCAATCAAAATGCGAGACTATTATATAATCTTTCTTAAGATTTTCACAGTATGCCTAACTGGAATATATTGGTAGTTCCTAAAGCTTACAGCTGTGATGACAGCGTGTTAATGCTATACTTGAATGTTTCAGTCATCGCCCTTACCTGGTGTATTACACCGATCACTGGTGCAAAGAGTCCTTCTACATCTGCGATCTTCGTAGCCTTTGCTTTCGTACTCTTCGCTAAATTGTTCACAGATTATATCTATATCACCGCGCCTTCTAGTGCCGCAATCCCTGTCAATTACGTCATCGTGATTACTGGATGATAGAGTCATCATCTGGCACTTGTCAGGGCAATTCACGACTTCAAGCCTGCCTTTGTAGCACTCGATACTGTTCACTTGCGGAATGACCACAAGAAAGCCGCACAGAAGCCAAACGCACTGTGTGAAAAAACGAGAAAAAACCACAGAGCCAAGATCAAATCACAGGAAACAAGAAATGATAGCTTTAGCTATAGTGGTGCGGTCCTTTGGAACAGGCTATCTAAAGTGCGGCTTGCTGTTTCAACCATGTTGAAATAGAAGCATAACTTAGTTGCTACTCAGCATACGTGTAGTTAAAAAACACCACGA